TCTGTTGTAACTGAAAGAAGTTCTGTCAATAATTTGCAATCAAAAGAACAACAGAGTGAAGGTAGACGAAGTGGTTGGATAGATCCATTTCTTGAGGGGTTGTGCAAGTATCTGTCTTTCTCTAAATTAAAAGTCAAGGCAGATTTGAAGCAAGGGGATCTTTTAAATGCTTCAAATCTAGTATGCTCACTTAGTTTTGATCGTGATGGAGAATTTTTTGCTACAGCCGGTGTTAATAAGAAAATTAAAGTATTTGAATGTGACACAATAATAAATGAGGATCGCGATATCCACTATCCCGTGGTTGAAATGGCTAGCAGATCAAAGCTAAGCAGTATATGTTGGAATAGTTATATTAAAAGCCAGATTGCTTCAAGTAACTTTGAAGGTGTGGTGCAGGTAAGTCAAACCTTACTTGTGATTCAAGTTACGACCTTCTATTAGCTTGTTTTAACTAAATTGCTTAACATGTTCAGGTATGGGATGTTACAAGAAGTCAAGTTCTTACGGAGATGAGAGAACATGAAAGGCGTGTATGGTCCATTGACTTTTCATCAGCAGACCCAACAATGTTGGCCAGCGGGAGCGATGATGGTTCTGTAAAGCTATGGAGTATCAATCAGGCAATTCTACTTTTGCATTTGGTGGATGTCAGCTTTGAAACTAAACGTACTGCATTGATCTATATGGATGATGTGTATGTCTAATTCAGGATGTCTGATAAGCTGATTCTCTTTGTGGGTTGCTTCTGCAGGGTGTAAGTATTGGTACAATTAAAACAAAGGCGAATGTCTGCTGTGTACAGTTTCCATTGGACTCTAGTCGTTACCTTGCCTTTGGTTCAGCGGATCATAAAATTTACTACTATGATCTTCGTAACTCAATGGTTCCTCTGTGCACATTGACCGGACACCATAAAACCGTGAGTTATGTCAAGTTTGTAGATGGGACAAATATCGTTTCTGCATCCACTGACAATACTGTGAAGCTTTGGGATTTGTCAATGTCCTCATCTCGGGTCATTGACACTCCAATTCTATCATTCACCGGCCACACAAATGTGAAGGTACTGCCACTCATTTATTATATCATAGCAATTCTAGGCATACTTTATGAGATTGATGTGAGAATGGTATGTGATAATTTTGTGTTCTACTAGATGCAAAATATTTCAGAAGCTTAAATACATGATAACATTTGCATCAAATGTTTTCGTGTAAATATTTCAAACCCTCCAAAATAGTCTGATTCTATAACATAACCCGTGTGGTGAACAATGATATATTGTTCTCCATTGACCAATATACTAATTTAAAACTTTTTGACCCTTTCGGATGACCAAAGTTTTCCACCACGAGTTCTTTAAATGCAAAAGCTTGTCATTCAATTCCAATCTTCATTGTTATGGATATTTATGAAGGAAAACTGCTAAAGAGCATCGTTTGTAAACAAGTAAATTCTTTTATACAGTTTTTCGAAGTTAGCCATTTGCATCTACACAATATTACTTTTAGCTGTGATGCATTATTTTCGTCTATTAGATGCAAGTTTAATATGGGCCTAGTGGTCTATGATTTATAGCTTATTTGTGTTTTCCTCGTTGCAGAACTTTGTGGGGTTGTCAGTTTCTGATGGTTATATTGCTACAGGCTCAGAGACTAATGAGGTAATTTAGACAAACATCTTTACTTTACCCTACGTGCAGGTTGTTCACATCTTGCTTCTATCATACTTCGACCAATGAACCCAAATTTCAATTTTCTTATTTTCACTGGAAAGCTGTCTTTTGGGTTCAAAGGAGGGCTAATCTGAGAGGATGAACTTTCATTGTGGGTATGGAGACGAAAAATGTATAGTTAGAGGTTTCCAAAGCTTTGTTCTAAAAATTTAAGAAAAATGACCTCTTATAGTTGTAAAAACTAGGAAGAAACATGCTTTGAGAATAGCAAATCAGCTAGCTACGTAGTTTTCTTCGGTGTCAGTGTTCTAGTGAGTAGTAACTCATTTAAAAAGAATTTGATGTGCTGGTTGAAAAGATAAGGTAAATTGCAGAAGTTACCTATGCAAGCCTAAGAAGGATCTTACCTATCTGTTTAGTAATCAAATGTCTCCTAAGAAAACTGTCCTACGAATTTTGAACAGACAATGCAATCTGTTTTTATTCATATTTAATGAACAATGATTATGTGCTTTGATTCATCAGGTTTTCATCTACCACAAGGCTTTTCCAATGCCAGCATTGTCGTACAAGTTTCAGAACACAGACCCACTTTCCGGCCACGACACAGATGACGCTGCACAGTTTATCTCTTCCGTTTGTTGGCGAGGCCAAACGTCCACTTTAATTGCTGCAAATTCGACCGGGAATATCAAAATTTTGGAGATGGTTTGATGGTCTCCCAAGGAAATTCTTGCATCTGGCAGGATAATGGGGTGTTGAGAAGCTTGTTAGCTCAAAGGGGCTTTAGAAGGTGATAGGAATTCAATGCTTGCAAGCAAGATTGCAAATTTTGGTATTAGATGATAGCGGGATAAGTGGTTAATGTGAAAAGTGAGAATGTTCTTGTTGAAATGCCATGTGTAGATAGAAATTTAAAGGAAATAGGAGGGTACAAAAATTGGTATTTCTGTATAATTTGTAATACAATTCAAATCAAATTTTATACTATAAGAGTTTTCGAATTCTTCTCTTTCGTTGTTTGTCTTCTAAAATGGTGATCAAAGATACCACTTGACATTTGTAACGGAAATTTTATTTGAACCAATATAATTTTTTTCTACATTCAACTTAAACTTTAAATATGAAATGTTTATATAATTCTATTGCATAATTACCAGCAATTATAATATACAATTTACAATAAAAATAAGGTTTATCAATAAATCCACACCTAATAATCAAATCCTAACAAAAAAATGGCAGCATCCAGTACAAATCATGTTATTAAAAAAATGATCAGCAATACAATTTTTATGTTTATGTTCATACGTCTTTCTCTTACACCAAAAATGAAAATATTCAGTACAAAATTCTTAACTCAAGTCCCCACCCCTTAAAATATGCAGTTCAACAAAATTCTTGTATTATAGTTGACTTATTGTGTGATTAATGCAAATTACCTACCTTTAGTGTTATAATAAAGATGTATTTAAAAAATACTTGACCAATTTAAAGCAGTAAGCAATTTACTCGAAAAATTCAAATTCAAATACCACATTTAAATAGATTCTCCCTTTGTTCAAAAAAAAAAAAAAAAAAAAAGATTCTCCCAAATGGACCAATTCTGTTTCTTTTCGGTTAATGAGGTTTTGGTCATGCATGTTCATGTTTTTATTACCAGTTCTGTCCTTTAAAATTTGATTTTGTTTTAAATTTAGAAAAAAAATTATTCAAATGAAAGTTTTATTTTTTATGATTTATAATTTTTTACACATCTATGTTTATTTTTGGTTATTAAATTTAATAAATCAATTGGCGAACAAAGAACAAACATAAGCGTGCATAAGACAAAAGTGTATAAAAATCATTTCTCTTTTCTTACGAGATTATTGCTTCGTTTGAACTTGCTTTTAAAATGACTAAAACTGTTTTTTTTTTTTTTTTTTTAAATAGATTTTGGGTCCGAAACCATTTTAAGTGTTTTTTGTAAGAAGCACAAAACATGAAGCACTTTAAAGTACTTTTTCAGGATCCTCTTTAATTTTTACTAAAAATTGATTTCAAAAGCATTTTACACCAAAAGCGTTTCCAATTATTTTAAAAATACTTTCAAACGAAGAAAAAAGATAATTCAAATTTGAGCAGCAATAGATCGATTAACAAAACCTAATTCACTACAACATTTGCATTTAAAAAATGAAGGCTCAATGATGGAAGTCCGGCCACCAATTTTCCTAATTAAAACAATCAGTTCTTGATTTCTTTTAATCTGGAAGGGTCGAGTCAAACAGTTGATATCTTCAGCCACCCAATTTGATGTAAACACCACAACTAAGTTAATAATTATTTTAAGATTTGGTTTACAATGGAGGATTATCCTCACCCACCTTAGAGTCTAGTCAGCGTGATGTCATTATCATTCATCACTATTCACTACGAGTGCTTAAAATTGCTTTTGTCAATTTCTAATTTTCATTGCCAACGAAAGTTAGGTAAATTTCAGACATGTCAAGGAATTTTTAGGTCAATCAGAAGGAGTGAGTCAAGTGAAAGCCAGCAAAAGTTTGAAATTCCAATCTTAGTTATTATTCATTAAGGATTTCGGCTCTGCTTTGGTGTAGTATTTAACTAGGAGACCGAAAGATGATATCGCTTCATGTGTTACTGAGGTTGCACGAGGAGAGAAATTAATCTGTCATCAATATGTGATGAGATACTTCTTATATTCAAAACGACTTACCTAAAACTTAGAGAATTTGAACCACTCGATAGGTGTTCAAGCACTGCTCAAGGGCCTCAAGAGGGATCCAGAACTGCTCAAGGGAGAGAAAAAAATAACGAAGAATGAAAACAAAATCGAAGAAATGAAAATAACTTGGAACGACTTTTGCTTTTTTGTTTTTAGTTTTCACTTGGTGTTCGTTCCCCCATCTTTTATCTCTCATCACCCTTCCTCCACTTCTCAATTTAACCAATGTATTTATACCCTTTCTCTAACGTCAAAAACTAAAACACAAACTAAAATCAAAATGGTTATCAAACCGACACGTGGTCGAACTATTAAGAATACAAAGCAAGGCCAAAATTCAAGTTCCATAGAACATCCAAGTTCTGAAGAGAAGATTTACCCAAAAGGATAAGAGAAGCAAGGTGGAAGAACAGTAAGAGTATCCAACATATAATAATGTATGATTGTAAAAGTTGCAGATATAGATCAACCTACAGAAACAATGACTACGACGACCAAACACCTGTTTGGTTTCAGGAATGTGACAACCTATGGATATGCTCAAATGGACACTAATCTTAATCTTCCTCATCAACCTTAATTCCATCAAAGTTAAGCATAAAAAACAGATGATCCCTTTAAATTCCCAACAAACTGCTGTCTTAGACTGTTGATACAAGTATAACTTCTATTCTTTTTCGTTCACTAGTTCAACTTCCAAGAATGTCAACACAAACTATTTACACTGGTTTTGACCAAACTTGGCTGTCAAGGTAAGCCTACCCACGAGGTGGCGAAGCCTGTCGGCGCCTGGACTTGGTTTGATCTTGTTCAGGTTCCCAACCCTGGAGCATTTCGGTTTGCCAGCACACCAACCGCCGGGAGTGAAGCTCCCTTTTCTTCGGTGAAGTAATTCCTTGTCGATCCTGTCCAGGACGGGGTCATCGTGCCCGAATTTTCGAGCAAAGGCAGCACCACTTGCAATCATCTTGTTTGTGTCATTAATGTTGAGGGTATGGGGATGCTGCTTGGGAGGAATGTCCCAAGAAATGTAATGCAAATCATGGTTGACGGCAGTTTTAGCAAACTCCGGCTCATTGCATAAAACAGTGTGAAAGTAGCCTTCTGGCGAAGAAACAAAGTTTGTGTAGTACATGAGAAGGGTCCTCGGAAGATTGTCCCAACCCCAGACACAGTACTCAACAAACCAGCGTGATAAGACCATCCATGCCGAACCTGCAACAGAGGCGCATGTTAATTGATTGTGCAAAACAAAGACCAAAACTGGCAATCTAGAATGAAATGATATATCCTAAGTTACAGCCAATACTATCGTTTTATACAGAGTGAAAACAAACAACTCTATATCAATTTGAGAGCTACTTATCAGCTAATGTAGTCTGCTCACTAAAATTGCTCGAAGTAAATACATCTAGTTTTCAAATTGGTTCACTGATCAAATGTTGAAATTACAAATTTCATCCCCTGACAAACGGGGTAGACATGTTACACAAAAGGTAACAAACAATGAGATTATCGCACCAAGTTGTATGCTATGTAAATCCCCCAAAAGACTCCCTAAGAATTCCAGCAACCAGGCTATTTCTTCTCAGCAGAAGAAAGAACAAACTAGGCAACAACATATACAAAATATCATTAATCAAAACATACATTTCACTGAATTTCCCATGTTCAGATTCATCAGTTAAGTCTTCTCGTACATGAAGATTTTGAATTTACCAGGTTACAAATTTTGTGAGCGACCAGAGATCTAGGAACTAAGTAAATTACTCACCAGTAAACAATTTAAACGAAGTGGGCAATGTTCGCCGTGGTGTAACCCAAAATACATCTTGTTTTTTCGATGAGTAGAGGCCAGGGTCTAAAATCAAAGGCATTGCTCGTTTATCCCTGGAAGGCAAAAGTAAACATAGCATTAGTGATAGTAATAAATATGTAAACATTCTGTATATGTCCAGAGAGAGAGAAGAGAGAGAGAGAGAGAGCTCACTCCTTCCAGCCAAGTTGGCTTGTGTGCTCAATGAAATTCAGATTTCGGTTTAAAGGTGAAAAAGTGTTAATAAGATCTGCAAAAAACAAATCAAACAGTTTCTTTTAGCACAAAAGCTCACACTTTAAGAAAAGTTTACAACTATAATTGATATGGACCTACCATCTTGGGTAACAAGGGGATAATCTGAGGCGCTGAGATTGATAAACCAATCCCAATCCTTACTCCTCCTGAGAAGAATTGCGCAGGCATGAAGAGTATTAGCAACCATTGTTGGTCCTCTGTAAGTTACCATATTAGCTTTCTTGATCATGAAAACATTCCCAACTGTATTAAAGAGAGTCTCGTTGTCCACTCGCGAAGCAAGCTCCAATCTTTCTGCTAATGGTGACTCAAGGTCTAAATGAAGAACATATTGATTCAATGGATGGTATAGCGCTTTGAGAGTTCTCCAAAGCTTTTCCAAATCCCCCTTTGACCCGGAAATTAGATAAGCAAAGCGGGGAATCGATGGCACTGGAGGAGGGGGTGGACCTTGTGAAACTATAGTCTCAGCAAAAGCTGGACTAGATTGGTTTGTTACTACCCTAGATGGTAAAAAGGAAAAGATCGAATTGATTGCTTGTCGTGAAGAGACGAGACCCAAGTTCAAGGAAGTGGCTAGAAGGAATATGCATATGACAGAGCTTATGACAAGAGGGAATAGCCATTTCTTCTCCATTGCAGACCCCATTACCAGACCTTAAGATGGGTTGTTCCAATCAACAACTATGGCCATATAACCCTTTTCCTCAAATGACCAAGCACGCTCGCAGATTTAAACAACACCGATGAGATGCAGATTGAGACTCCTTTCTCAATAATATTCCAAAATCCAGACTTTTGAAACAGCTGTTGAATCAAACACCAAATATTAAAAAGCATGCATTTGATTCATAAATTGTACTTTATAACTCTGGTAAAACAAAGAATATTGGAGCTTTGCCGTATAAATTCAGCAGAAGAATTGGTGCTAAGAACTGCCAAAACAACACTTATTTTATAAAATTTTAACCAAGCAAGCAAAAGCAATAGCAGAAGAGACACAATTGAAGCATCAAGAAAATCGACAAAGGAACAACAGAGGATTCAAGCTAACAAAATCAGAAATATATAATTAAAGAATTGATTGTAACCTTGTTTCCAATGAGTCAATACAAAAAAACCATCAGATATGTGCGTTGACAATGACACAATTGGCTGCAAAAAACTATGTCTAATCAGAAGAAAATTCCTAATTTTGTATCCCAAATAACAAAATGCAATATCGGCGGAGAGTCAAAGAAAAACACAACCCTATTGATTCAGTCATGCAAAACAAAGAAAACCCAGATCAGAATATTACAGTTCCGTGTAATCCAACCAAAACAGAGAATCAGATGTCACATGCAGCTGAATCGTGAGCTCAAAAATAGAAAATAAATAAAACCCAGAAAAATTGGAATGCGTTTCGATACAAAGACTTTAGTGAGAGAGAGATGTGAGAGAAGTAGAACCTGCTGATTTTTTTTTTTCTGGTGGAGAAGATGAAGAGCGTCCGTGCACGTTGTGGAATAAATAAATGGAAAAACAAAAACAAGATTTGGAGAGAGAGAGACAAAATCATGCGAGAGGAGAGAGAAAGAGTGGGGAAGTGGGGAGATTGAAGATTGATTGTTTTTTATAGGGAATGAATGTGTTTCTCTCTCACCTGGACTCGGAGACTCAGGGGTTTCCGTTTTGCTGGGTCTCCTCTATCTGGGATTCACCAACACGGCAACTGATTTCAACTGTTTTCCATCTCTTGTTTTATCTGCTGTTGTTTTTGTTTCTCAGTTACAATCTCTGCGGTTTCATTCCGCTCTCCCTTTTTGCTGTTTTTCCTTTTCTTTTTCTTTTTTTTTTTTTTTTTAATAAGGAGAAACGGTAGCATTTTTATTACTGTTAAGAACGACTACGGTCTTGGTGAATAACGTCACGGATAATATCTGGAGGTTCATCAAACCAACGAAAATTAGTTTCTTGTTTTAACTTTTTTTCCGCATCAATGTGTAATTTTCAGCTGTAATTGCTAGTTAGTGTGGTGATTCCATGTGGGGGAAAGTAATGCAGATCAAATGCTGTCGTTTGTCATGAATTGAGTGTTTGATTTCATGGAATTTGTTATCTTTGCCATAAATTTCATCAATATTTCATATGGTAAAATTAAGGAGAATAAATGATTGTTTATTTGGTCAAACCAATATCATAAATGATGAAAGAAAGCAGTTACAAATAATGATCCATTTAAGGAGAATTAAAGGTAGAAGCATCTCTAACGGAGATGTCAAATTTTAAATATAAAATTTAAATTTGACAGTTTATATGATATTTTGACATCTTTTAAAGTTTTGACATTCACTTGATATGTCAAATTAAATTATTATTTTATTACATTAAGCTATTATAATTAATGTTTTAAAACAAAAAATAATAATAACTAATCAAATTTGTTTAATAACCAATTAAAAAAAATTGAAGCTGCTGTCAATTTTGATAGCAACGGTGAGAGTTGCCAATCCATATCACGCTACATCTGTTTTGGCGTTTCTGATAGAAAACACTGTTGTTGTCTTGTTTTTTACTATTACTACTGATTTGGACAATTTGACGTCTCATTTGGAAATACACTAATTTGTTCTGCAAATACTCTAATTTGTTTGGTCAAACTAAAATCTCCTATTAACCTGTTTGCGCTACGTTTGTAGCGAGTGCATCTTTGCTCCCCTTTCCTCTTGGTTACCATTAGATTAGTTTGGTTAATTGATCTAAGACACGAATCTCAAAATTTATACTAATTTAATGGCAATCAATGAGGGATGAGCATCACCCTCACTTTAGGGGTGAACAAAAATTTAACAAGACAAAAATTTACTATAAATATTTTTACTATAAACATGATGAAATTTAACTAGAAATTCAAGCACTTCTTGAAAAAAAAACAATTTTGGTTGACATAAAAAACATCTAGTCCTGAAGGAAACAGGGTGCATTTAGAAGGTTTGGCTTCAATCTAAGGGATTTAATGAAGAAATATTAGGGTATCTCTAAAGTTAAAGAGTCAATATAACTTTTGACTTCAAATTTAACTCAACTTCTCTGCAATGCATTAGAATATTTGTAGTCATATATAACTCAGGGTCAAATATGACTCTCGGAATTAAATGCAAAGTCATATTTAATTCTTTATGTGACTCTAAGCTCTTCCATAGTATGCCAGAAAAAGTTAGGATACATAGTGTTCATACTATTGATTGTTTTGAGCCATTTCAAATCCAAATTAGTTTACCTATTTGTTTATATCCAATGATAAAAATATTTTTTTTCACAAAAAAAAAAAAGAGGGAAATATTTTGTTTGGTGGTTTTCCAATATTTGCCACTAGGAGCATAGTTTATGCAATGATTATGAAGTTTGGTAAAATTGCATATAAAGTCAGATTTTGGAGTGGAAAATTATGTTGCTAATAATATTACTAGCATTTGCTTACATACTTTGTGTGTATGAACACATTTTTTAAGAAAATGAGAAGGAGAGAGGGAAAGAGAACATAGGGTGAGTGGGATGTTTTTCTTTACTTTTATTTTTAAAAAATTAGATATATTTTAACATCACAGGTAGGTGAGGCTTTAATAAAAAACAGTAAAATTTGGACATGTGAAATTACATTATTGCCCATCATTTTTTTTTGTATGATAAAAGATTAAGTTGTCTTTTCACCCTATTTTGGTTGACAAGGAGGATTTTATTAATTAATAAAGATAAAAGACTAAACTCTAAAATTTGACAAATAAATCAAGTAACCAATGAAATTTTAGTTTTAAGAAAATGAAAATGACAACCAATCAGGCAGTGGGATGCCAACTCTTCATAGGCTTTCTACTTGTTTGACTTATGAATTTCTTTTCTTTTATTTTTCTTTTATTTACTTTTTTTTTTTTTTTTTGCCTCATTGATGACATATAAAAGTAGGACCACAACTTTTTTGAATCAATACCGGACCATAATGCTTGACCTATATGCGAATTTGTCCCCTAAGTTTTAGACTTTTTTCACTTCGGTCCTTCCACTATTTTCCGTTCCAAGTTTGTTCTGAAACATTTTAAAGTCTGTTTAACATGAACTTATTTTGTCACAGTACTACAGTCTAATAGTATTCCTCTTTATTGGTAAATGAAAGGTCTTAGGTTCGGTTCTGATCAAGGGTGAATTTGAACAACATTATTGCTAGCTCATTGTGAGGTTTAAACCACTTCTCCACCCTTAGTATAAATAATATTGTTTGTTTCAAAAGTTACCACTTCATTTTAATGATACCTCTAATTTGACCAAAATGCCCTCGATCTAGACCTTTTAAACGAAGATGAGTATGTTATCGGCTAGCCGAGTGGGCACTTTCAATTGGTACCATTTGTGGAAAGAGGCTCCTTATGATGTTATCGAGGATGTCCTCCTTCAAGTAATGTTATCGTCCCCTTTTTCACCCAAAAATAAAAAAAAGTGGTTAAATTGTTTTATTCTCGCTTGTCATCGTTGACAACAAACATCACTATTGTCCTTATTAATTACATTTAAAATAGGAAACAGTTATTAGCATTCAAAAAATCTTATTACACATTCTTCACAAATGTATTTTTCTTTTTAATTATAAAATGAGATTTTTTAAGATGTTTAAATGTTTAAAGACGTTTATGTAAATAATGAATTATCCTAATTCATAAGATATTTTTTCTATAATTCATCACGTACTGAATTCAAACGATTTCTCTCCTCTTATAACTTTATATCGCTCGTAATAATATATAAAACCAACATTAGACTCAAAAAAATTTGGAGCTCAAAGTGGAAGAATCACCAAAAGGCCCGAATTTATATTTAATTACAAGGATTCACCGTGGACCCGACAACATTGCATCTGAACGCCATCAATTAATATGTTACACGTGCATTGTCCTCTCATGAACATTAATTATGATGGTTTAACTAGAACCAAACCTTCTTAAAGAGCTTTTATGGTGGTCTATATATATAATCTCATTCTACACTATTTACAAGTGTATTTTTCTTTCTAAATATAGAAAGCTTGAAGTGTAGAATGAAATTTTTAAAATGCAAATAACAATTCTCATATATATATATATATAAATCGAAAACGTATGCTCTCAGTTACTTGCGTTTACTGTGGAGGCTGTTCCAAATCTGATTAGATTCAACGTCAAGTGCAACGCATTGAATTTAATGCAGTAACAAACTTTGTGGACTAGTGTTGAATTTTTGTTTTTGATACAAACGACAACCGTGAAGGAGAAATTGAATCTAAGATTTCAGGTGCTTCACCATCGTTCACCTTTCTCTATCTATATCTTCTCCACACCTGTATTCGTTAACATAAAATGAAAAACAAAAGCAAAACCAACATAGAGAGACAAAGTACTGAAGCGTAAGGAATAAAAACATCAAGTACATTGTACGTTATTGTTTCAGTCCTGATTTTGCGTATGTACACACACTAGTCCTTCATGCTTCTTTGAAAAATGTTAATTTGTATTATCTCTTTAATAAAAATTGATTTTACCAACACATGTGGATCTCATCTCTATTAAAATGACATTACAAATATATAATGATATAACATTTTTTAACTTAATTTGTTAGACTAACTCCAATGGTTGGCTAAAAGCCAAATTACCCGTCAAAATTTTCCCCCAAACCCACTCTAACCCAAGGGGAAATTTTGGGCTAAATGCTAAATACTAAACCAATGCCAAATTCCCCCCAAAATTTAGCCCAGAAATCGAAGTGGACTCCACCCCATATTTATCGGAATTTAAATTTTTTTGGATTAAAATGTTCAGAAAATTAATTTACGATAGTCTACATATTTATTTAAAAAAAAATTAATTTAACAAAAAAAAAAGCCTAGATTCATTCTTTAATAATCCCGAGCTAAAATTTTAGGCTAGAATGGTTGGAGCAGAAAAATTGTTTCTGTGCTAAAAGCTAAATTTTTCGGGCTAAAAATTTTAACTTTTAGCCCAACCATTGAAGATGGTCTTAGCCTAAAAACAGTTTTTCTGCTCCAACCATTCTACCTTAAAATTTTAGGCCGGGATTATTAAAGAATGAACTTAGACTATTTTTTTTGTTAAATTAAATTTTAAAAAAAATAAATATGTAGACTATCGTAAATTAATTTTATGAACATTTTAATCTAAAAAAATTTAAATTTCGATAAATATTGGGTAGAGTCCACCCCGATTTCTGGGCTAAATTTCGGGGGGAATTTGGCATTGGTTTAGCATTTAGCAATTAGCTCAAAATTTTCCCTTGGGTTGGAGTGTGTTTGGGGGGAAATTTTGAGGAATAATTTAACTTTTAGCCCACCATTAGAGTTGATCTTATAGAAGTAAGCACTGCAAGTAAATTGGTAAAAATAAAACATTTCAAGCCGTGGTAAAAAAATATGTTATTGCGTGTAAACATGCACCGCGTTGGACCCAACGAACATTCTTTGCATTGAATGGCCAAAAGATTCCACGTGGTCGTCACGTTAATCAACCATCCAATCATTACATTTGCGCCAGTACGGCACAAAACTTTCTGGCCGTTCGATCAGCGGACCAAATGTGGATGGAAAATTATTTTAAACATTTTTTTAATGTTCTTCTGGAAGATAAACTATTATAACATGTTGGAAAATTCAATAGAAATATTTAATACCAAGTAAGAAAATGAGGGTTGGTCTGCAATTTAAATAGGCCTCAAGTTGAAATCTTAT